TTTCCTCCTCTTGATCACAAAGAGGGCAGACTTCATGATGAGGCAAGCCTCTTTTGGCAAGGCGGTCCGCATGATCCAACATCTATTGTTGATGGCTAGCCAAATGAAGAATTTGCAACGAGAGGCGCCCAACTCTTCCATATCCTCCTCCGAGGAGCAAATTTAATAGTTCCTACAAAAAAATGCAAAGCATAGGCCGACTTGCTGCTATATACTCCATTCTGTGAGAGTTTCCATCTTATTTGATCTGGAACTTCTTGCTGCAAGACAACTCCCTCAACATGATCCCAAATCCGAAGATATTCCAATAGAACCTGAACTGAGAGAGCACCCTTGAGGTCTGCAACCCAACTTCGATTGACAAGAGCTTGTGCAACTTTCTGTCTTCTAGTTATCCTTTTAGGGATGGCCTTGAACAGGTTGGGAGCCACTTCCTCTATAGTTTGTCCATCAATCCACCTGTCTTTCCAAAAGAGGGTGGAAGCACCATTTCCCACAATATGGTCAACTGCCATCTTGAACAATGCCTCGGCATTATGAGGAACCGGAATTTGGAATCCAGCCCAAGCTCGAGAAAGATCCATTTTTTGAGCCCACAACCATCTAACCCGTAGTGCCCAGCCAAGGGTTTCTAGATTAGGAATCCCCAATCCTCCATACTCTAGAGGCCGCTGTACTCTTTCCCAGGACACCAAACAATTGCCCCCATTGGCTTGTTCCTGACCCTTCCAAAGAAATCCCCTTCTCCTCTTGTCAATGGCTTTTAACACCCACTTTGGCAGATCGAGAGCCATCATGGAATAGATGGGAGTGGCCGATAGAACCGCCTTAACCATTACCAACCGACCTACTCTATTCATTAGGGATGCCTTCCAACCAGGCAAGTGATCAGCCACTTTGTCAATCAAGGGCAATAGCACTTCCTTGGTGGGTTTGTTGATGGACAAAGGCAGCCCAAGGTAAGTGCAAGGGAATTCCTTAACTGAACAAGACAGAAGTTCAGCAGTGATACTTAATTCATTCTTGGAGCAATGAATGGGAGAGACATAGCTTTTCACCAGATTGGTATGGAGTCCAGACGCATGACCAAACAGGTCTAGGATGCATCTGATCACCAGCAAATCAGTTCTCCCTGTCCTAAGGAAAATGACAGCATCATCAGCAAAACAGGATACCCTATGCCGAGCATGTTGGACAACAAGTGACTGAAGCAAATCCTCTCTCGCCGCGTACTCCACTAGAGAGTCAAGCACATCCATGACTAGAATGAAGAGCATGGGGGAGAGTGGATCACCCTGCCGGAGGCCTCAACTATGAAGAATAGAATCTCCAGGCTCCCCGTTCACCAACACTCAAGTGGACGAAGTTGATAGAATTAAACTGATCATGTCCCGCCATTTTTGCCCAAAACCCAACTGTCTCATTACCTCCAAGAGAAAGGACCATGAAACTGAATCGAATGCCTTGGAAATTCCAACTTTAGTAGAATATGGGCCTCTTTCTTCTTGTGCAAAGATTTCACCATTTGTTGGACAAACAGGAAGTTATCATGAATATTTCTTCCCCTGACAAATGCGCTCTGATTATTTGAAACCATAGAAGGCAGCAGCGGAGCAAGCCGGTTGGCCAAAAATTTATTGTATATTGTTACTGATTTTCTCGTAAATAAAATCGGTTTTTAGGTCGTTCATAATCAAGGGATTATGTTGTTTGCACCCTAGCAAACTGAGCAGAGCATGAGATTATCTCTTACTACTCCTGAATTTTTGTACCATCTTTTGCCAGGATTCTCCTGTTTTGTGGCACCCTTTGACCTCAAATTAGGAATCTCTGGTCATGTTTTCTAGTTCCATTTTTCATTATATAATCTGAAATCATCTTGCACCGAGTTCTCTATCATGTTTAATGGAACTACTAGTGCAACTTTAGCAGTCGCCTATATCTCTGTTCAAGTAATTTATAAAACTCATGCAACCCCTTCCTCCTGCTCGACGAGTTCTTGGGTCTGAGGAAGAGAAACCTTGACTGGTTTATGCCCAAAATTCCAGCCTTTTGCAAATTGCATTACCAAATCTTCGTCTTACCTTAATTGTTGCTCACCCTCTCTGTCGGTTCGTCTCGACCCGCAATGGGACAACTATGATGATGTTTATTAATTAAGTTCATTAAATTTGCTACATCTGAGAATTTGGCTCTAGTGGCGTCATTGTAACTTGCATTTCAATACTTTGTGTAATAGATATTATGTAGGTACTCCGATCAGTGATGCCGTAGCCTGATCGCTTGGTAGTACTCCTGATAATGATCTTATTTGGTCCAATGACTATTGGAGGATGTAGTTATTTCGTCATTAGTCTTGTAACAGAAGCAGAAGTACGAGTCTTTTTCTGTTCAGAGCAAGTTGAAGTAGGCAACATTAGTCTGACCAATGTTAAAACTCAAAATTGTGATGAGTTTCCTTTATGTTCATCTACTGCAGCCTAAAATGTGACTCCTTTTCCACCAGTGAAGCTGGATATGTCTCCTGGTATCTATCTGCAAGGCTAATGTACTCTCTCTGCAGGTTTGGTATTAATTGAGCTATAGATCTCCAAAATGTTCTATTTGTATTGCGATTTAATTTCAGATGTCATCATGTAGGGTGATCGTTGCATATTGTTACGGTTGCAGCTGCAGCTAGTCTTGTGCAGGCTGAGAAGATTGCAGAGGCAGCAGCAGTCGGCTGTAATGAACAAGTGAACAAATCCATGACTTGTACACGTGATTGATGCTCAAACTATTCCCTTCAATGTTGTAGTTCAATTTTCAAAGTGTAAAGATTTAGTGTTCCTGTGTGAAAGTTGCAATATAAAATACACATGGCAAAACTTGTCTCAAATCGCGGACATCAAGCTACACGGGGAAAAATCTCGTATGTCAAAAAAACTGCACAAAAATAAACTCACGGACGTCAAAAAGCTGCATGGAAAAAAAATTCACGAACGTAAAAAAACTGCCAACAAAAATAAAAAAACACACGAGAAAAAACTCACGGACGACAAAAGCTGTATGGAAAAAATCGTGAAAACTAAAAAGCCCGCATGAAAAAGATTCCTGTGGCTTGCTGGGCTGGCGGATGGGTCTGGATACCAAATAACTTCGGATATATATATATATATATATATATGTTTAGATACATAATAAAATAATTTGGGACAGATGAAGTATGTGTTTTGTATTATTGGGTCAACCGAAAACTTGCTAAAATAAAATAATATGACACGCCGCATAATTAGTTTTACTATAGAAACAATTTAAGCACCATTAAATATCCATTTGCATCCTTAGCTGTATATAACGGGAACCCGGCCTACCATAACACGAGCTGAGTTGCGAGTTAGTTGCATGTAACTCTTGTCTAAGTGTGAAACAAATTTGATGACAATTTGCCAAATTTGCGCACATACTAATATAATGTTTCGGCACCTGGCAGTTAGACATTAAAATCCTGTTTGGTGAAACTTCGTCCGGCTTCAGCTCCTCCTTGCATTTTAGCAAAGGAATCGTTTTTATCCATTTTGAAATCATTTTTTTTTATTTCACTAGCTTCACCTCCGAGCACTATAGCAAAAGCCTAAGAGCGTTTTGAGCCATGCCAAGCGGGGCTTATGACACTACAAGTCTGCGTGCAATGGAGATAAACTCCGAAGGATCGTCTTTTGGAAGCTCATCGTCTGGAATATACTAGGACGGGACGGCGCGCTCCGCTGCGCCCATATTATTTGCGTGAACAGTAAAGCAGGAAGTGGGCAGTAAAGTTACGGGATGAATAGTGGATGGGAAGTATTTAAAGTTTGGTTCAACAGTGTTTTCTATCAGGTTAAAAGAGGACACGTGGTTAGCGTGGTCGTCCGGCAATTTATTTGGCGTTGAAGACATATATATACTCTTGGGTTCTTGCACCTACTTTGATGTGCATTTGTGATTTTTCTAACTTTGTAATTTTGCCATTCACTGTTCACAAGTCAACGCGATTTTGCCCCTAGTGAACGGTCAAAACAGGGGCAAATTCGCAAAGACCAGGGGCAAATTCGCGTTGACTTGTGAACAGTAAATGGTAAAATTACAAAGTTAAAAAAACGAGAACAAAATCATAATTGCACATCTGTGTAAGGGGTAAGAACATCATTTTATATATATATATATATATATATAATGTTCTGGAGCCACAGCTGACGCTGTCAAGACTCATCAAGATGACAAATTTAAAGGTATGTTTGATCTATTATCACTAAAAATTAGTACTACTAGAGCCAAGCAGGTCTGCTAATTATTAGTCGAAGGACTACTGACTATTAGTTCCATTAGTAAGTTTGGAGTTGCCAATAGATTTTAATAGTTCATATAGATTCTAATAGTTCATATGCACCTTCAACTTACTATCCAACCACCTATTAGCGGTTGGATCCAAATAGTTACTGCTAAAATTAGCTAGCTAAAAATTAACGACTATTAGCTATTAGTCAGCTAATTTTTAGTGTTAATGAATCCGAACACGCCCTGAGACACCATGCGATTGTGATGCCGTCTCCTATGTAAACAGAAAAAACATGATCTGGGACGGGCTGCCATCAACGTTTTGGGCCGTCAGCCCGCTCGTACTGTGGCACATCGCGCGAGCCAGATCGGTCCAGTAGTCGGGCTGCAATTGGGCCTGTATGGCATGGGAGAGGCGAGGCGCACGGGCTACGGATGTTTTCTCTCAGGTTGCGACGTCCGTCACGGTCCAGCTTAGTTCTTCTCGTCGGCCCGTGGAGGCGTGGAACACGCATGCCAGAGCCTGTGGCCTGGCCGTGCCCGTGCGGCGGCGGTTTGTTGCGAATTTTGCTTTGTTCGTCAAAATGCCTTGCAAAATTTGTCGGGATATGTTTTCAGTTTTCACTAAACCACAATCGAATCCAATCCAAACGAAATAAATAAAAGGTTGTTAAGATTTCGGGAGGTCTACAGTGGCGCCACGCTTAAAAGCGAACGGAATCTACGGGATCTCCTCGCCCGCCCCTCCCACGGCGACGCGTGACGGGGCGCAGTGGCCGCGCAGGCGCCGCCATGTCGGCCCCGCCGTCCAATACTTCGCCTCCATCTACTACTACTACTACTCCTGCAGCCCCAGCCCGGTCGCCTCCTTCTCCAAGCATTCCAGAGCCGTCGACCACGTCCGCTGCAGCCGCCCCGTCGCTTCCATCACCCACGGTGCCGCCGGCCGCTCCACCACCACTGCAGGCGCCAGTAGGTCCGCAGCCGCCGCCGACCCCGGTTGCTCCGCCGGCTGTTTCTCCTCCTGCTGGCCCACCGGCGGCACCTTTGCCGCCAGTGTTTCCGCCGCCTGATCCTCCGGCTTCTTCGCCTCCCGCCCCGCCGCTTCCCTCGCCACCCGTGCTGCCGCCTGCAACTCCATCTGCTCCGCCGGTACTTTCACCTCCACCGCTGGCGCCAGCGGCACCAACTGATCCGCCGCCGTCTTCCCCTCCACCGGCACCACCAGCTGACCCGCCGGCGCCATCTACTCCACCCCCGCAACCAACACCATCTGCTCCGCCGGCTCCTCCCCCGCAATCACCAGTGACGCCTGCTGCTCCGCCGCCGGTGGCGTCTCCTCCTACGCCGCAGCCACCGGCGACACCAGCGGCACCACCGGCGTCTCCTCCTATACCGCAGCCACCGGCGTTTCCTCCTACGCCGCAGCCACCGGCGACACCAGCTGCTCCACCGGCGTTACCTTCTATACCACCGCTGCCACCAATACCTTCTCCGCCTGCACCAGTGGCGCCGCCCACGCCGTCAGCACCGCCCCCATCTCCACCGGGGACACCCCCGCCGGTGATGCCACCGCCGTTGCCTGCGCCATCAACACCGACGCCGTCTCCGCCAGTACTCCCTCCTCCATCGGCGCCAGTGATCCCTGCGCCACCAACAACGCCCACGCCGTCCCCTCCGATCATGCCGCCTTCACCATCAACAACCGCTCCGGCGCCTCCAATGCCACCGCCATCGCCGCCACCGGCGCCTGCACCAACGCCCACGCCGTCGCCTCCAGTGACGCCAGCGCCACTAACGCCATCACCGCCACCCCTGCGGTGCCAGCACCAGCGGCGCCGTCCCCTACTCCTCCCGTGACGCCGGTACCACCCGCACCCACTCCTCCATCTCCGTCAACACCAGCACCACCATTGCCTTCGCCGCCTTCTCCGGTGACGCCAGTGCCACCTCCATTGCCGTCGCCGCCTTCTCCTGTGACGCCAGTGCCACCATTGCCGTCGCCGCCTGATCCCGTGACGCCAGTGCCACCGCCAGTGCCGTCGCCGCCTTCTCCCGTAACGCCAGTGCCACCAGTGCCGTCTCCGCCTTCTCCAGTGACGCCATCTCCATCAATACCAGCGCCACCATTGCCTTCGCCGCCTCCCCGTCGTCGCCCGAGCCGCCAAGGCCGTCACCACCTTCTCCAGCGACTCCATCTCCCCCAGGTGCCCCGGCCCCAAACATACCACCATCCCCGCGAAGGGCGCCGGAGCCAACACCCGCGACGCCATCATCTCCACTCCGGCCAGATCCTCCAGCGGCGCCCAGACGGCCGCCCTCGCCGTCTCCTGTTCCGCCATCTCCTCACGCCCCTCCTGCTCCTCCTGGCGCAATTCCGTCGTCCCATCCTCCTGGTGTAATCCCGTCGCCCCCAAGTGATGGCCCTTCCTCGCCGTCATTCACACCTCCGGCGCCGTCATCGCCATCATCAGCTTCAAATGGGACTGTGATCGGCGTCTCCGTGGCGGTTGCAACGGTGGTCGTCCTCGGCCTCATAGCCGGCCTCATCTACTGCTGCTCCAAGAAGCGCAGCCAACGCCGCCGCAGCGCTCCGTCCGGTACGTATGCCAACACTCCCATACCATACCGCCATACGCTTGACACGCTCGCTCTGGCTTGGCCGGTGCAAGCGCACCACCGCAGTAGCTAGCAAGCTTTAGGTTTGTGCGCGCGCGTGAGTGCGTGAGTGCGCGCGCGCGTCAAGCAACGTAAGAAATCGCGTGCCCGCACGCCGGGCCCGCGGCTCTGACGACGCATCACGACGCGCACTCGCCACTCGTGCGCCGCCGGCGTACGTCACAGCAAGAACCTTTGCCGGTGTTGGTGACGATGGCGACACGTACACCATTGACCAGAGAGCTGGTTGTTGTCTTGCTCAATGTGCCTATTCAAGGCTTCTTTCTTGAAGTGCGTGACCCATGGCAACTTTGCCGCGTAAAAGTCGATCGTTGATGAACTCGTCGACGGAAACGGCAATGGCTATACAAGTGTATACAATCTAGAGTTCTCTGCGTCATTGCCCACTTTATGTGTTTGATTCTTGCATACTGCTTTTCTTGTTGCATTTCTGCTTCTAGATCGACTAGACTGTTAAGTCGTCGTCACAAATCATGACCCCAGTGACGACTGCTGACCAAAAGAGGTCAAAATTCCACGTATTAGTGTTTCGCGACACTGCGATCGTCAACGATTTTTTCAGCTTAGCTTTCTGCTGTTGTTGTTCTAACATCCTCACATCCTCAGGCAACGTCTACGGGCCCCGGCTGCCGGTGTCGTCGTCGCACCAGCAATCGAAACCGCCGTCGTCAGCGCCATTACAGTCCACGCCGCAGTCGTACTCGCAGCAGATGCTCGGGCATCAGTCGTGGCAGACCAGCAGCGGCAGCAGCGCGCTCTCGGGTCCCCTGCGCCCGCCGCCCCCTCCTCCGCCGGTCACGGGCGGCACGGTGTCGTACGCGGAGCTGGTCGCGGCGACGGGCGGGTTCTCGGACGCGAACCTGCTCGGGCAGGGCGGGTTCGGGCACGTGTACCGCGGCACGCTGGAGGGCGCCGGCGGCGGCGAGGAGGTGGCCATCAAGCGGCTGCGGCCCGGGAGCGGGCAGGGCGACCGCGAGTTCCGCGCCGAGGTGGAGATCATCAGCCGCGTGCACCACCGCCACCTCGTCTCCCTCGTCGGCTACTGCATCCACGGCGACCAGCGCCTGCTCGTCTACGAGTACGTGCCCAACAAGACGCTCGAGCTCCACCTGCACGGTACGTGTCCATGTCCATGTCTATGCGTAGCGTAGCTCGCTTGCGCCGCCGCAGGCTTTGTTTGGCTGCTCGCCGGTTTGCATTGCACGGGGACGGCTCGCCTGACTGACATGGTTTTGCATGCATTGTTCCAGGGAGTTGTCTCCCGGCGCTGGATTGGCAGCAGAGGTGGAGGATCGCGCTTGGCTCGGCCAAGGGATTGGCCTACTTGCACGAGGACTGTAAGTCGCAGCACTCTGCTTGTCTGAATTTTTAGACTAGTTTGGCTGTGCTGATGGGACGAGACTCTGTCTTGGTATATCAGGTGATCCTAAGATTATCCACCGTGACATCAAGGCGGCAAATATACTTCTGGATTACAATTTCGAGCCCAAGGTAAGTGATTTCAGCGCGTATCACATCGATTTATTCTTCGCCGGTGTCTGAATTTTGGATGTCATGCATGGATGCATTTGTCTGAAAACGAGCATTTGTTGTGCAGGTTTCAGACTTTGGGTTGGCCAAGATCCAGCCCGCAGATGACACTCACGTCTCCACGCGCGTCATGGGAACCTTCGGGTAAACCCGTTGCTCCGTAACATTTATATAGTGTCAGCAAGTGACTAAGAAGTTTATGACTGTATCTAGTAGGAACTAGAAAGCATTGTCAGTGATAAACTCGTTTTTCAGATACTTGGCCCCGGAGTACGCCACCACCGGCAAAGTAACGGACCGATCCGACGTCTACTCCTTCGGAGTGGTGCTTCTGGAACTGATAACAGGGATGACGCCTGTCCTGTCACCCGAGCCAGACAACGACGAGACTCTGGTTTCTTGGGTGAGTTACCCTGAATTCTGACTCGTTGTTCTGAATTTTGACTGAATGTTCATGCAGAGCTAGGTGACTAATTCTGCCATTCTTCTGCCGGTGAATATTTTTGGTGCAGTCAAGGCCCAGGCTGACAAGAGCTCTCGAAGAGGACGTCCTGGACGAGCTGACCGACCCGAGCCTGGGCACCGATTATGACGGCGTCGACATGCGCCGGCTCATCGCCTGCGCTGCCGCCGCGGTGCGGACCACGGCCCGGTCCCGCCCGCGGATGAGCCAGGTGACCGACCGATCGCGGCCAAGCTGCGAGACACGATTTCATTCGCTGCAGATTTTTTTGCAGGAAGCTTTGCTAACATCAGTGCACGTGCTGTTTTCATTCATGGACAAAGCAGATCGTGCGGTTCCTGGAGGGGCAGATGTCGGTGGAGGCCCTGAACGCCGGCATGGCGCCGGGGCAGAGCGAGGTCGTGGACGACGGCGGCGCGGCCGAGCAGCTGCGGCGGATGAGGCGGATGGCGTTCGTGCCGGGGACCTCCTCTACCGGAGGCTTCGGCCTCACTGAGAACATGAGCAGAAGCTACGTGAGCGAGGCGACGAGCGAGTACGGGCTGCACCCGTCGTCGTCCAGCTCCAGCGACGACGACGCCGCCACGAGCGAGGCGGCGGCCAGCGCGCACGGGGCCACGAACCGGCCGCAAACCGCCGTGTCCAGCGCCGCAGTCGCGGTGGCGGGGAGGGAAGGACAGAGGTCCGGCGAGATCAGCGCCGCCGAGGGGATTACCCGCCGCACGCGGTCGGGACACACCGACGAGTGACGCAGCGTTTTTTTCCTTAAAAGTTTCTTCTTGGGCTTTTTATTTAACGTTCGTTATTTAGGGGGTACACAATACAGGCAATCAGGAATTAAGGTTAGTGGTAGGATTATGTTAAAAAAAGAGGTTAGTTGTAGGATTAGAACTTTTTCTTTTTTGAAACTGATGGATTAGAACTTTTCTAGCTTGGTCATATCATTTTGGTCCAAGGGTTTGCTAGACAAAATTGGTAGTAAATTTTTTGCTCAAAGTGCAGACTTTCAGTCAGTTTTGGAGAACACAGGATATTCGAGTGAGACGTAGCGGCTTGATTCGTCTCGTGATCGAGATTTGTTGTATGGAACTTTCTTGTTAGTCACATGTGCCTTTTTGCTTCGCTGTGCTGCCAGAGATTGTTGAATGCCAGGTGGATAGTTAGCATCCACTGGTGTCCACTTAGTTTAAGCTTTGATTGCAATCATTGCTACACAGGCCGGTCAAATTATCTCTCTATCCATACCCCCAAGTCCCCAACACCATCATACCCTGAAGTCAGATGATTGATAGGCCAGATACTAATCTCCACATGATCCTCGTAGATACGTGTTTTTGTAAAATATTCGGTAAAACTTCATCGTTATCGACAATAATAATAACTATGTTTCTATAAAGACTCTAAGATAACCGTCCTGTTCGCTTGTCTTATAAGCCATACTTTTTCAACCAACAAATAGTACTTTTCTCTCACAACAAATCAACCAATGGTACTTTCAGCCATACCTTATCAGCTAAGCGAACAGGCAACATCTAAATTTATATCTAACCTCTACCATTATGGATACTCTCGACTATAGTACCCTAAATCTACATCTAAATTACTCACATGTTATAAAAATAGCCTCTAATCTTCATCTAAACTAACCATGTATGTCATAATAATAAAATATAATCTAAAATAACCTTTAAATTACTCAACTCTGATAGTACTAGGTTAGTGTCCGTGCGTTGCTACGGGACAACTAAACTTTTATACTAAAAACATACGATCACATGATAAGATAACAATACTATAAAATTAAATATCGACGTTAAAGTGATATTTAATCGAAAAAGCAAAGTTCGAGAAATTAACGCAGTCACGGAGAACGCGGTGTCGCAGGCTCACAAACTCTACTATATATACCTTTCGGCTGGAAGAAATCTCCGATATCCATTTTTTCATGCGTCAATAAATCCATGAATAAGTTTCGCCACATCTCCACACCATCTTGTACACAAGTTTGAGTATATATGTAAATATTAATGCCTGTCACATAAGTAGTACTACGTGTCTTGAAAAATCTCTCACAAAACCTTAAAACAAAATATGTTATACTCACCATATAAATGTGTGGCTTTAGATCTATTCCACACAGACATATACTATAGAATAAGATATCCACTTGAGTATATGTGGCAAAATTCACCATCAGCAATATATAGAAATAATTAAATTATATATAATGGCTGCGTTAAATTTGGTATGAAAACCAACCGGATTTCACTGTTCCTAGATGAAAAAACACGGTTCACGCTCTCATAGATTCCTCCAAATTCCCCCAAGCGAACAGGCCCATTATTATTGCAAGCGGCAGTGATTCTGAGTTAGTTACTCATCTATATCATCTGCAATGTTTAATTTGCTTGAATTCATGATTAATTAAAAGTAACATCAGACGGTTTATTTGCTTGTTACATATGAAACTGATACTTATGTACAGCAAAATTAAAAGGCAACATAGGGCTGGCTGCTGTAGCCTGCAGCGACTGTTGCGGTTCTGCTTGAATTGCTCTCTAGTGTTAGCTCAGCAGCAAGCTCATCCAAACACATCGAATAAGTACATAAACAAATATGCCTTACTCCAATATCGAGATGAAAATTCAAAAGTGTAACAACAATCTTTTACTTGAGTCTACGTATATATGCAGGGAGGTAAATGAAATTGGTCAACCATGATGTATCTGATATGAAACCTATCATCCTACGAAATTTAGAGCATTGTAAATTATTGTCACACCCAATATTTCATGATAATGGCCTTGTAGTACATTTGTCATCATCTTTGTCACTCGAATTCACAGATTACCTAATTTGAAACCCGCAAAATCAATGAGACAAAACATCTTATCCTGACCATGTGGCAAATTTTGAGCGCAAAAAAAGACCATGTGTCAGATTTAGGGTTGCAATGTTGCATTCTCCGTATTGTACACCAAGTACTTGACTTTCCCATTGGCATTCATGGCATTCTGAAAAGAAAATAACAACTCAGAATGACTGAATTAGACAACACATATTTATATGCATATAGAAAATGTGCATGCATTCGATAGTGAAAAGGGTAAAAACAAAAAGGAGTCATGAGGAACTCTCCACGTTCATGTATAGAAAAATAAAAGATAGGTGAAAAAAGGGGGAGAGAAGAGCATTATCAAACCTGGCATCCAGATCTCATGACAAGGATAACTGGCCAATCTTGTCAAAGTAATCAGTTCGGTTAATTTTTCCGGCACCACTTCATCAAATATGACATCCTACATAATGAAATTCAAATAAGATTTTCTACCAGATAATAATTCATTAAATCAGATGTCACAATGCACAGAATGTTTCTCAAAGCATGCTAAAAAGCTCCGCGGTGTCATAAGCCTAATCGTGTGTAGCATTGTCACATCCATCAAAGCAATATAACTTAGAAAAAAACACACCCAATGGATTTCATCCGGCTTATATTTTGAACGCCACTTTTCTTTAAGGTTTTCTTTAGCATTCTTGTAGCCTTCTTTACATTACCTTGCAATTGAAGCAACTTAGAAACATAGAGCTAATTTTCCAGATAGTTGTCCTGGGTCAGTTCTAACTTTGCCAATCTGACATGAAAGAAAAAGAAAAAAACATGCATCCCACATTGATGAACCATCGAATCAGACAACTTTGTAAAGCTTATAATTATCGATGCAGATGTTTTACTACCTAGTAGGCTTTGGTTTTACCTATCCCTGCATAGATAATTTGAAAGAGAAAAGGAAATATGAAATACCTGATAAAAATAAGGATAGCCGTGAGAAACATTCCTCCAATTACCAATGAAATAAATTAGAGGTGAAATCCGAATTTGCTTTCCCATCATAGTAGAAAGTGTCATTAACTCCACCAGAGTTGGTCTCTGAAACTTGAACAGAGAAACCAACAAGACGACATAACTCTATGCTGTGAGAGACCCGTTTTTTATCGGCTTTGCCACAAAGGATGACACCTAAGCCATAAGAAGATAATAAGACCCGACATAGCAGTAAGGAGCATATATAAAATAACGACGACTTCAAGTGTGGACAATCCTAAGCCACAAGGAGATAATAAGACCTGACATAGCAGTAAGGAGCATATATAAAATACTGATGGCTTCAAGTGTGGACAATGTTTGTTTCGATTTTCACTTGGTGGACCCCCGAAAACTGAATCACAGAACTAAACATGTCCATGATATTGTTCATCAATGATGCTGACTATTAGATGCTTTGTAGTTCTTATAGCCGCCACATGATTTGACTCGCTTTTTCAATATTGCAAACAATTAGTATTGCTACATTCAGTCAAGAATAGATGACGTTCAGTCAAGCAATTATGCAAGTACTGTCTGATACTAAGTTAGTGAGTTTAGACCTGAGCGCTCACAACAAAATGCAGAGAAAGGGAGCACCCACCTTTGATCAGGTTGAGGTCGCATGGCACGATGCGCTCGTCGTACCCGGTGTCGTCCTACGTCTTGCTCGGTCTCGGCGAGGAGATGTAGGCCGTGGGCGCTGTAGTGGAAGAAGAGCACATCCCTGGGCCACGCCTCCACCACGAGCCACTCGAGTTCTAGCCAGACGTTCTCCACTTATGCAACCAGATAATTCACCTCCATGTAGTGTAACAATAGACATGTGACTTGAACACAAATCCATATACCAGTTCTGTTCAAAGAATGCAATGTAAAAATTTATAGCAACTCTCTTATAAAAATTACTACATAAACAATATTCTAGATAGTAGAAATTGAAAGTAATAGGACTCTTAAGTGGATAGAAATTGAGAAGCAAGACCAACCAAAGAAGATGGCAAAAATTGCTGTATCCCTTAAATAGGCCGCAAGCTGCAAGGACCTAACATGAACTTAAAATATGTTGAACTAATCATTGAGCACCCCCATGCCCAATGTAAAATCAGGCCAACTTCATCGCAGCACATTTTGCCCATAACCATGCATAAAAACATTTGAACTCAAGCTAACCGAGTATAAAAAGGGAAAGACAGGCGCTACTATGTATGCAGGTCAATTTTTTTAATGTCAACTTACTTCTTGCCAAGAAGTTGCCCTATCCAAGCTTCCCGGCGGCCACACTTGTGCAGTGTCACGCCATGGCACATTGAGCTCCCCCTGGCGAGCTCTGTGCTTTGGCGCTGGAATATGTGCACGAACTCCTCCTTGGTGCAATTCCTCATCTGGAAAGCACACCCATCAGTCCACCGCAAAACTATTTGATCATGGAGAACTGTAGACGCCACATGATATTTTCATGCAACTATTAACTGCTTCAAATCTAGGAGAAATGGAGAACATCTTTCCTTTATTTCCATGAGTTTGGTGACTGCGGGACGAATCACATATAGGAGAAATTAGCATTTATGAATCAATCGAAGTTAGGGAAATCAAAGGAGAGCAAATCAAGTGCAGCCAGTAGATGATCCCCATTGCAATGCCACTGGACAACCATGCCTCCATGTCTCCACCTATAGTTTCAGAGAGAATCAGAAATTGATGGATTAATAAGATTAATGGGAAATATGAACGAACATCACAAAGATCAAAAAGAGAATCAAATCAAACTGAGTGGATCAGGGTATGACTGGATCTTGGATTTAGCCATCAGCGACATTGCGTATCTACATGATGGAGCAAAAAAACTAATAACTGTGATGGAACAACTCCACATATTCACTACATCAGGCAGCACAACTGACAAAGGCAAGACGAACGTGTTCGTAACGTAGATTAATATACTGCCTAGTATCTGAAGATCTCATCAATAATCGCTTTCACCTCCTTCCATGGCACACACACAAAAAAGGAAAAAAAACCAAACTATTGGATTACAAATCAGAAGAAGGGGCTCAGGAAAGGGAGAGGGAAGAACCTGTAGGTGGCGGAGCACAAAGATCCAGTGAGGTCGCCGCCGCGTGGCACGGGGTGGGCCGGCGGAAGCGATTCCGCGCGACCTGGCGAGGGCCGCCGCCGAGCGGCCTGGGACAGGGCTACGAGCTGCCCCCCCCCCACGCGTCTCCGCACGTCCTCGAGCGCCGCCGCAGGGCGGCGGTCGGCGGCGCGGCGGCGCGCGGCGAGTTGCGGGTGAGGGCGACGATGGGGGTGCGGCGGATGCGGACGACGGTGGCCGGCCGTGCGTGGAGCGAGGGTGCGAGCGAGGATGAGGGCGCCCGCGCGATGGCGATGATGGCCGCGCAAGACGAATCACCGAATCACGGGAGCGATGTTTCCTTTTGAGCTCTTTCTTTTGTGTTTTTGTCGCGGGCGCGAGCGGCGTCGACTTGCGGATCGCAGGGCGGGGGAAGGCATATCAATGTTTGCGGGATCGCACGCGGGGTACGGGGATATACTATACTATAATTTTTATCGCACGTCGGTCAACGATTCCCATCGCTAATTTTTAGTTGTAGAGATTAAAAACAGAATAGAGCAACATCTCGATTTGCATCTAAATTATACATTTCTAATATTAATAAAAATAATGCATAAATCTGCATCTAAACAACTACATCTAACACTCTGAAAATAGCCCAAATCACTTCAAAAATGTGCTTGCAAACGATGTTTGTTATTGTAAACATAGAAAAAATTTGATTAAAGTGATAAATGAATAATGTTTTGTCGTCATAATCTATATCTATATATCTATATCTATATCTATGTATTATTTTATAATCTTAAACCCCATTAGAATTATATTTCCATGTTCAAGCCATCTATATCAACAGTGCATTAGCACATGTAATTATGGCACATATCCATTCATAGCACGTATAATCATGCACATATCTGTTCATGGCTATAATTTTTATACGCTCCCTCCAATTTTACATTTCCTGTTATTTTGAACAAGGTGAAATTCAAATTCTTACAATTTTGATTATCAATTTAATTTTAAAGATTTAGTCTAGACATCATATGTAGATTAGTCATAAAACCTACTTTAATAAAACAACAACAATAAGTTATAATAAAAAATGTATTTCGGAGGCTAGAATTGTGGAAAGGACTGGAGGAGGCAGCATTTGTATTCAGTTTGATCGGTTGCATTTGCTCTTTGGTTGTTGTTGCAGGCTGCAACTCTGAACCAACAGACAACAAAATCTTTTTAAAAGAACAGCCAACAAAATAATAAAGGCAGCGATCAAGCTGATAAGCTCCAAATTGCAAATAAAAATGATGCGCTTGCTCCCGCTGTGGCCCACGGTGTGGCCGCCACCTCATCACACATGCCGTCCCGTTCCGCGGGTAGTCTCTCCTTCCTTCCTTTCCCTGTGTCGTTCCAGCGCCCACCACAAAAACGTAACGCATCGCGACGGCTCCCCAACCCCAACTCCCCCCCGACTCTCTGGCCGGGTCTACCTCTCGGGCCGGTCTCTCTCCCTTCCCCTTCCAGTCCCCGCACGCGAGAGCGAGATCGCCGCCCCGGGTCGGCCCTAGATCCCGATGGCCTCGCGCCGCCGCACCCTGCTCAAGGTCATCATCCTCGGCGACAGCGGGTGAGCGCTTCGGATCTCCCTTCCCCTCTGCGAGGGCACTTTGCCTTTTGTCTCTCGCTGACCTCTGTTTTCCTGTGATCTAGGGTTGGGAAGACGTCCTTGATGAACCAGTATCCTGCGATTCGGATCGATTCTTGACAAGCTGACTTGATTTCGTTGAATCTTTTATTCTTCTGGTTGTTTGGTTTGGACTGTGTTTTCTTTGAGCTGTGATGTAATTCAGATATGTGAACAAGAAGTTCAGCAACCAGTACAAGGCTACGATTGGCGCGGATTTCCTCACCAAGGAGGTGCAGTTCGAGGACAGGCTCTTCACTCTGCAAGTAAGATTGGTTTGGTTCCCCTAGCCATATGCTGTGTCGTGCTATGCGAGTAGTTCGGTTTCTTTAGGTCAACTTCGGCCCCGATAGTTAATTAGTTTGTGAACTGATCAGCTGTGATATTTAAAAAGTGTAGGAGAGGATGTTTGCCATTGAACACCTGAATGCTTGCTTGTTAGGCCATGGCATCGTGCTTGTAGCGGCTGATTCAGTCTACACATATGCTGTTTTGCTTAGGCATTTCGCTCGCTTGCACTTGAAATATATAGCTCTAGTACTTGCTCCTGTTGACGAAAAGTCAGTTTTATCAATTTTATTACTAAATTGATTCACTGTATTGGTAACAATATAGTGAACTATTTCTGCTAGAAAATGCACCTCATAATTTTTCCATGAGAAAAACACTACTAGTAAATGGTATACTTTTTAGACCTTCTAGGCATCTGCATTATTTTTCATTCTTTACTAGTGAACCAGATTTCACTGCTTATATTGGCATGATATTGTTTGATTAGCATAGGGGCACTTGGCAGCTACATTAGTAACCCTTCTTTATACTTTCCCGTAATCTTGTTCTCCGCTTAATTAACAAATGACTGTTCAGATCATTTCAGACCTTCTTCATATCATAACTGTCTAACTATTTAAAGTAGTTTCTTATGTTTTGGCTGCTTCTTAATAAAGCGCCATCTTCATCGAATCTATTGGGTACATAAGGAATCTGTGTAGATTCAGTTTAATATCATGTGAAGAGATGAATTTTCTACCAGTCATCTTGTATCTGCTGGTTTATGGTGTTTAATATGTCTTTGTAGATATGGGACACTGCTGGTCAGGAAAGGTTTCAGAGTCTTGGCGTTGCATTCTACCGGGGAGCGGATTGTTGTGTCCTAGTCTATGATGTTAACTCTATGAAATCATTTGATAACCTGAACAACTGGCGTGAAGAGTTTCTAATTCAGGTGAAATATTTCCAATGCTTTATTAGTTCAGTCAACAATCCTGTTTTTTTTTTCCTTTTTTTGTCTAACTTTGGATGTTTCCCATTGCAGGCTAGCCCATCAGATCCTGATAATTTCCCTTTTGTTCTGTTGGGTAACAAAGTTGATGTAGATGGTGGCAACAGCCGAGTGGTAAATACCACTACACGATTTGCTCTCTGGATAAATCTCTTCAACTAGATTGTACTGATTAGAAATGTAAACTGCTTTCATTTTAGGTATCAGAGAAAAAGGCAAAGGCATGGTGTGCTTCTAAAGGGAACATCCCCTACTTTGAGACATCTGCTAAGGATGGAACGAATGTGGAAGATGCCTTCCAGTGTATCGTAAAGAACGCTCTGAAGAATGAACCAGAGGAAGAATTGTAAGCACACTGTGATTCTCCTTTCTCTGCATGTTTGATTGACATTTGACAGTACTGTTTTTATGTGGCATTAGTCTTTGCAAGTACTAGAAAACGGAGCACTGCAGTAAGAGTAGTTATGTTTGGAATATCAATTGGTCCTTCAGTTGGGTCTTTTGCTCCAGTTCTTAGTCATCAACAAAATTAGTCGCTTTTTGTTGATCCTCTTTTTGGGGTATTTGCATCGTACCAGGACTAGCATCATTTGCTGCAATAAGACTAGAGTAGTAACATTTTGAAAAAAAAAAACTTCTGTCGGTAACTTTTTCAGTATTATCTATGTCAAATCATCAACCATGTGCTGGTCCTTTTCGTGGGGGATATGTTTGCATAGTTTCAGGATTAGCACTATTCGTTTCTTTCTTTTGGTTGTATTTCTTTCCGTGCCTCCTTTTTTGATCTTTATCGATTTGTTCTTGAAGGTATGTGGCAGATACCGTGGACGTGGTGGGTGGCAACCGGGCCCAGAGATCATCTGGTTGTTGTTAATGCATGAGGCATCACGAGGGCGTTGTGATCATCACCGGCTATACAGTGACCAAACAATACCTTTGACATTGCTGGGCTTCCATGGTTATCTACGGATCCGTATTCCATTTGTTACCTCCTAGTCTCCTGCTATGTACCCAAGGGCGCCTTCCCATGCTGTCAATCCGTGGACTTTGTGCAGTTTCATCAGTAGCGTCATATCTTGTGAATACAATTGGGCAAAATAAGAGGAAGTGTAAACTAAAGTTCATCCTTTATGGTTTTGTGTGGGACGAGTATGAATTTGTCTGTCTGGCAATCGCCTTTTCCTCGCTATCTGCTTCAACGCGAGTTACTACACCCGTTCTCGCTAGAAAATAGATGTTATTAATTGTTGAAAGAAGAATTTATCTACAGAGAAGAATCTCATCTCACCTGAGTGTTTTGAGGTCTCCGGACACCAGATTTTATTTCTTCGCATCTTCTTCCTCCTGATGTGTTGCTGCTACACACTGTCCTGCCGCGTACTAGGGTTTTGCTGGAGCTCCATGGCTGCGAGAGCTACCGTGCCCACGGCGACCTCTGTCTTCCCCTCCCCCGCTGCTGTCAAGGCCATGGTCGCCCCCGTCCAAACCTGGCCCGGCCGTCTCCTTCGTGATTTTTTTTAATTTTAACATTTTTGTAAACTAATTTTAAATTTAACACTGTTTTTTTTTTCAAAACTAACACTTTGGCCACGCCTATTGCCATGCCGCGCTATGCATGGTGGCGCGGCGGATGGCTGACGTGGCGACGATCGGAAATGCTGACCGGTGACGTGGCAGGGCTTGCCGCGCCACCGATCTTGGCGCGGCAGTGACGCGCCTTGATCGGTGGCGCGGCAGAGCCGAATAAAAGCGCCGCGCCGAGTCCCGCCGTCTGTCGACGCCGGACGCTTTGCACACGCGCGCCGCTGCCGCACAGCCGCCCTTTCGCCGCCGTGCACAGCGCACGCCGCCTTCGCCACCGCCACCGCCACCAGGGCGAGGCACGCCGCCGCCGAAAGCACGCCGCCAGCGCTTCGAATGCCGCACGCGCCACGACCACCGCCGCCCTACCACGCACCGCCGCCCGCCGTCGCCGCCCGCCACCCCCTCCGGCCACGCCCGACGGTTGCCCGCCACGCCCGTAGAGGCTGCGCGCCATACCTCCTCCAATGCCGGTCTAGCGCGCCACCGCCATGAGAGAGACGCGCCATTGTTCTTGGTACTCCCCTAGTGTATTTGTTGATTGAATCGACATTGTTAGTATAGTAAGTTAGTAAAATAAATAAAGTTAGTATAATTAGTAAAGTATAGTTAGTATAGTTAGTTTAGTTAGTATAGGTAATATAGTAAGTTAGTATAGATAGTAAAGTTAGGTAGTTTAGTTAGTACAGTTAGTGAGTCTATTTATATATTGTATTTAGTTTAATTAGTTATTGTAATTAGCCTTGTATAGATGTTAATATTAGATTAGTTAATATAGTTATAGTTAAATAGGTATTAATATTAGTATGAACATTACGTACGACGATTTCAATGATTTGATGAAGTTTCTTGAAATGCTTTTGCAGATGGATTGTTGTGTTAGAGTTTTTTTACGGAGGAAGTGTTAGGAGAGAAGATGGTATGTTTGATGATATGGAAGAAGAATTGGAATGGTTTGATGAATCTCCTAGCTTCAATGACATTTGTGTCCGTTTGAATGCAAAGTTTGGCGGTGATTTCACACTGAAGGGGATGTTTGATACTGGGAAGACTAGGGCATACTATGTCCTCATCCCCTTGCGCGACCCTGCTCACTGGTCCTGCTACACTAGGGTGCTCCAAGGTTCCAATATGCCCATGGCTGAGGTGGTGGTGGAGAATTGGTACAGGATGCAGGGTGTCCAGGACGTTCCGTCCATTGACGGTGTTGGAGGCAATGAACAAGAATTAGGGGTCGAAGGAGAAGCAACTTAGGGTAACATGAATTTAGATGGTCAGTTGACGCAGGAGCAGTTTCATTCAACTGCAGTAGGCTGTATAAGCAATGACTTCAATGTGAATGAGTTCGAACGGAAAGAGGAGAAGCAAGAGGAGGAGGACAGGATCGGTGATGTAGTTAGCAGTGATTCAGACGATTCTGATGATGACCAAGGAGGTACAGATGCTATGCCAACACCGGTTGATGCCATGCCGGTATCGGTTCATACTATGCCATTACCAGTACCAACTAAGGTTTTGCATGGTCTCTAGGCTCAGGGTAGACTAGTCACAGATTTGACAGCAGATGATACCCCCTATGATTCATGGGTCAGAATTAGCGAAGCGCAGCAGTATGTTCCACCACCACCTTACATAGCAACTGAGCTTGAGCAACTAAGGTCGATGAATGTACCTTTCAGGGGCGTTCCGAACTATAGGGATGTCAGCATGACAGATATGACAGTTTGTGACACCGGTCTCCAGATGTGTAGGAAATCATTGTATGGCCATGAGAAAGAAACCCTTAGGAAGGGGATGATATTCAATATAATGTCAGAGATGAAGCTCTTTCCTCAGGACTATGTTGTGTATCACCATAGGTCGTACACCGTTACTCATTCAGACCAGGAGTTGAGGTACCACGTGATATGCAAAAACGGTTGTATGTGGAGGTTAAATGCACGAAAGAGACAGAGTGATGGCAAATGGAGGATAAGTAAAATTGTTGAACCCCACACTTGCCTAACAAATAGGGGGAAGGAAAATCATCAGCAGCTCACTGCACGTTACCTTGCCTGTCGTATATTGGGGCTCGTTGATGACAATAGTGACATTTTGGTGTCTTCTTTAAAACAGTCCATATCTTGATTCATTAAGTACGATGTGAAGTACGGAAAGGCTTGGCGTGCTAAGCAAATTGCCCTGACGATTCAATGGGGTAGTTGGGAGGAAGCGTACAACAGGGTGCCCCGCATCTTATGTGCAATGCATTACTACAACCCTGGCTTGAAATGGTTTGTGAACACTGGAGGGATGTGTTTTCGAGACCCGGTGAGGCATGTCCTCTATCGTGTGTTCTGATCGTTCACGCAAACGGAACATGCATTCCATTTTTGTCGGCCAGTCATACTTGTTGATGGCACTTTCCTGACAGAAAAGTACAGGGGCACCTTGATGATGGCTGCTGCTGTTGATCCTGAGGACCAGATAGTACCCATGGCATTTGCTTTGGCAGAGGGAGAGAACAATAAATCGTGGTCATGGTTCTTGCGACTTCTACGTGTATAAGTGTTAGGCCTATCTCGGACTATATGTTTGATCTCGGACCGTCACCCAGGGCTTCTTAATGCTGCAGCTGAGCATATAGATGGGTTCCCGCCTCTAATGAATAGATGGTGCATGAGACACTTTGCCGCTAATTTCTGGCGGCGCCAGAGGAAGCAGGAGGTATGTGACAAGGTAAAGGCTCTATGTTGTGTATGTACAGAGCACCAGTTCAAGGAGACAAAGAGAGAACTAGACATGATGGTAAATGAAGCGGGAAAGGCCTGGTTAGAGGCGCAGATGGAACAGAAGGCTCAGTGGATGTTAGCATATGACGAGGGGGGTTTCAGGTATGGTATCATGACCACTAACTCCTCGGAGTCCTTCAACCATATATTCACCGGAGTTCGATCGTTGCCTGTGTCTAGAATTGTTGAGTTCTCCTTTCATAGGTGCAACGAATATTTTGTCAAGAGGTGGGAACTTGCGTAGAGAAATATAGCTGAGCAGGGGTGTTTTGGAAAGGTCGGAGCAGAACATTTGAAGGAGGCCGAGGAATTGACCAAGTAGCACACCGTCGAGCCGTATGGACCTCGCCGCCATATCTTTAGTGTACAGGACAAGGGTGGCACAAGTTTGGACGGTGAACGTTATGGTGGACGAAACTACCAAGTTGATCTTGAAAAGGTAGAGTGCACTTGCAACGTCCCTCAGATCATGCATGCCCCTTGTTCTCATATGATCATGGCCTGCAGGGTTTGCGGGTACAACTATGAGGATCTACCATATATGTCACCCTTGTATCTCCGTTCAAACACCGTTAGTATTTGGGAGATGAGCTTCGAGCCATACCTTAACCCGACATAGTGGCCACCTTATAATGGTTATGACTACGTGCCGCATCCTGATCTAATGAAGGTATGGAAGGGTAGAAGTAAGAAGAAGCAACTCAAGGGGGACATGGACGCTATGAGAGGGTATGGCAAAGACATGTACGGAGGGGGAGACTTCAACGAGACCCGTGGCAGGAATCTTTGCTATGTTTGCAAAGTCCCTAGTCACAAGGCTAGCATGCATAGAAGACGAGGGCAGCAGGTGCTTTCATATTGTGTTCGTATTGCATACCAAGTAGTTTAAATTTTGCAATACTACATAATGTTAATTTGAATATTGTTAATTTGAATACTCTAACCCTTTGTTTATCAATTTATAACAGGATGGCCCTCCCCACTGCTTCTAGATGTACCCCTCTTCTTTTTGTGGATTGAATGACGATTAAAGACCCCATTTGCTTCCTATCTCACAGGACGAAAGCTAAAATGATGTGTTGTTTCAAAGTTCAAGAGGCGTTCATGTGAAGATTTTTTGGGATCCTTACACTCAACACTCTTTATTAGGAGATTTAGTTGGTTATTTGAAGCTTGTCGAA